GTGTTCTTGTGTGTGACGTCACCGTGGGACGACATACGTCACCGTTTGTGACGTATGTAAACATATGGCTAGCGTGAAGATGGGAGTCCAGTTCGGCATTGAAATGGATGGTTATTTGTGAATAATATTTTTGATTGTGATATTATAACATATTTCTAATTGTGAAATAATCTTGATTGTGATATTGACACTTGACAGATATTCAACATTTGAATATCGAAGTTCTAACATCATGAATTACGAAGTAAGAGTGTAAGGACTTAGCAAAGCTAGAATCATGGCTGAGGCAGTGAGGCTTAACCGATGTCATTGTAATTTTTTACATCATTGATATCATTGTGGAACCAACGTAAGTAACTAAGGAATTTCCCAGTTCAAATATTTATTGATTTATTACTATCAATTTCAAAACTTCACATATTTCTAAAGGGAGTTGTGATGAGACCATGGGGATGGGGTTGAACTGTTGAGTTTAGACCATTACAACTTGCAAGAGGGGCCCAAGGGCCAAGGGCATGGGGCCTTGCGAAGGGTTAAGACCGACGCACGGCGGTGGACCAATAAGTACTCACAATAATTCCCTGCCACCATGCTCACAGCCATCGGAACTACGCACTACAACACATAGTTACGATCGTAGCATGTAGATCATAAGATCAATACGGCGCATCGGCCATATCGATCGTAAATCGCGATTTATGGAGAAGCATAATTGGCAACTGGCGTCCAGTGGCATCCACCTCGGCGTCTTTGGTGCATGAAATCGGCGTCCTCGACCTATGTTGTGCCATGCTTTACAGTCTGGGATAGGGATGCTTTCAAGCTGTGATTGGTTGATGGGGATGCTTTCAAGCTGTGATTGGTTGTGTCCATAAGCCCCGCCTCCAAATATGGTATATGTGCTACAGTACTGGTTAACTAAATACTTAACTTAAACTTGATCAATATGAACAGAGGGCCTGGAAAATTTTCTAAAAATCCAATAAATAAAATAAAAATAAAATATATCTATCAAACAAGAGACATCCAAATTATTCTATAACAAACCTGATGTACCATACAATTGAAACAGTTTGTCCACTTATGATCCATCTTTACATTTATAGTCAGCAACATGGCAGAGCATTGTATCAAAGGAAAGCTTTTCACCTTGGGTGGAAAGCTTTTTTATAAGTGAACTTCCATTCATAGAATTCCAGCCTGCTCAGTATACTCCGTCTATACTGCAACTCTGCAAGTGCAACTTGCAAGCTTCATTTCATTTCAGCAGGCTCTTTCAGGTATCAGCAATTGGCAATGATTGGCTATGTGGCCCGATAGGCCTGTGAATGCTTTGGTTGGCTGGTTGCTTATGAAAAGTTCTCTGAACTTCTGAAGCGTTGTTGATGACTTGATGCGGTTGCAGTAGCAGAAGAGCCGGTGTCCCCGTCTGAAATTCTGAATCAGACATCGACGAACTGCCCTTTTTGGCTTACGCTAGTTATGCTGTTATGAACTTATGGGCTATACTATAGCCTATCCCGGCTATGGCGCTTCTGGCGAGTGGCGACGCACCGGCATCCTTGAGACAAGGAGCTTCTAGACTCAAACATTTGCTCCACACTCCCATCTACACTAACAATATCAACTATATGTATTTATTATTTGCACAGTCGGGCACAGAGCAAAGTAACTTACGTCCGTTCTCAACCGTGGCTGTCGAGATTGAGTGTCAAATCTTTTCGGTCACGGTCTTATTTGTGCTTTTGTACGGTGTAACGGAATATGCGAAGCGCAGAATAATATATTTACATCACTGAATTTACATTTTGATTTGAGGATTGACGATGAAATATAAATATTCTGTGAATATAAATATCATCAATGTAGTGAATAATTACTGAAGCACATTTGTTTTGGAATAGAAAAAGAAACATAAAATCATTCGATTTCCTAATGTTTATTCATTGATATAATATTGATATATTGATTGAAATTTGCTTTGTCTCAGGCGTTTCCTCCAGCGCAAAACAAGTTAAAGATTATCGTGTGAGAAATTTTTGCGAGCGAAAATAGGTATACCTGCTATTCTATGCAACTTCAATGAACATATCTTCTCATTAAGGTTTTAAAATGGAATAGAAATTTTATATATACTTGGACAAAAATTTATAAATTTTTAATAGTTCCAAAATTTTTTAAAGTGCTAACGCTGTAATTCGTCTCAGTGTCGCAGGACACTGAAATTTAGGGCCTTGTGTTTTCAAAATTAATGTCAAGAAAAAATCCTCGCTGTATCGAAAGTAATGCGTAATTTATGTACCGTAGATGTTTTTATTTTCCTGATACGCATACTGAAAATTATAGTACAATTGAATCGATATCATTTTGTTACTTTTTTGCTCAATTGAAATAAATCAGAGATTATTTTCATAAAATGATCTGCAATAAATTAACTTTTAATGTCGACATTGTGCAAGTCGCATTATTACATTTAACATGAAATGCAAACTATCATTCATACTGTACTTCTCTCTAGGCAATTTCTCAAGCGATGTTAGAGTCATAGGAACAGAAAAATTCACAGATACCCATCGAATTTTTTTAGAACAACCCCCTTATACTATATAAATTTTTAAAGTAGTAATTTCATTAAAATTCATGGTAAGATAGACCTGATTTTATAATGTGCTGAAATATAAAGCCGGCTCGCTGCCAGTGAAGCGAGCAGAAGTATTTCCGTAGAACCAGGAGCATCGAGGCCAGTGGCAACAAAGGGCGGTTCTGTGGCTATAGAGGGCAGATCAGTGGCCACTGAGGGCAGTTCAGTGGACACCGAAGGCATATCAGTGGACATCGAAGGCAGTTTAGTGGCTACCGAGCGCAATTCAGTGACTACCGAGGGCATTTCAGTGGATACCGTGGTCAGTTCGGTGGCTACTGAAGGCGCATCTGTGGCTACCGAGGGTAGTTCACTGGACACCGAGGGCAGTTCGATGGGTGCAGCGGTCAGTTCAGCGGTCACCGCTGGCCAAGGATATTTTCCTAACAAAGTCGCCCATTCGGTTGTCCAGTAGCAGGTAACTCACGCACTTCGGGAACATCTCGTTGCGGAAGCAGTTTGATCTGGTGAAGTGCAGTGCGTCAGAAATTAAGTGGAAGAGTAAAAAAGTGCATATGCGTATATGCCGCAAAATTACCTGTACTGCGTAGTAATCTATTCAGAAAGCTATTTTTTTAATAACTTGAAGATACTCAGACTATAATCGCCTTCAAGAACAGACTAGACGAAGCTTTGCAGGAGCACATGATCAGTCTTAAAATGCCTAGCAAATTACGGTCCAGGCAATAAGTCCAGCAGCTATCTCAATCAATCGTCAGTTATGGAAAGATTGGGTTACAAAAGGCCGGATCCCTTGTGAATCAAGTCACGAAAAGTACAAGAATCGGCAACAGGCTATGGGCCTATTTCTTCAGTGCCGACACTTCTATTCTATTCTATTACTTATCTTAGATGTACCAGAATATCTACCGGTACCGTTGTCTAAATTCCTTGCTGATTCCATGGTACACTTGTTACAATTTCAATAAACATACGTTCTTGGAAAAAGAAATCCTCACACACGCGTGACAGGTCCCTAACTTAAGACTATAGGTGATTGTAGCCACTCACTTGCAGCTGCTGAACACGTAGATCTCCCTGAAGAGATTGTAGCAATCCTCACACACGCGCGACAGGTCCCTGACTTATTCACTCACTTGCAGCTGCTGAACACGTAGATCTCCCTGAAGAGATTGTAGCAATCCTCACACACACGCGACAGGTCCCTGTACTCCGCCTTGTTGTACTCCCCAGCGCAGCTCAAGGAGGCGAACTCCATGCGGGTGTTGGGCCTGAGTGTGATCGCTGCAGCTCCTGACTGCACCAACTGAAACATAACAAAGTTTGTCTGCGGACGAGCTTTGTTGTACCGACCTGAGATTGCAACAATTTCAATAACATTGAGCATTTGTGAGGCGTGAAGTTATTATTGAAAAGATTCCATCTAGTCAAATGGGCATCTCGATTCTATCTATATATGGCTTAGATTGATTGAAATTCCATAATTACCTATATTGTGTGAGATACAAATAGGCATAAATATGAGGATATTGGTTCGTACAAAAGATAGATATTACATAAATTTTTAAATTAGTGATTTAGATTCGGCAGAAAAACCATCAAACAAAAACACGCTCACCAGAAGAAGCATCACTGCTGCTGCGCTCACAAACGAATGATGGACATCTTCCTGCAAAGATAATATCAAATATTATGCTAAATGACATATGCTATATTATCGTCTTGTGGTTCAGATAATCATGCAATAAGCACGCTTAATTTGTTATCTACAGTTAACAGATGAAATAAAACATTATACACCTTATCTTCATTGTTTCCGCTATTATACGGAAATTAATAACTCTTGCATTGTGCCGGTGAACTAAGGATTTCATAGCATAACTAATCTATCAACGTGAACTAATAAAATCAGAAATATGCCAACAAAATATGCTAGACAAATTCTTATACATTTTTAGCGCATTTTCTCATTTATGGAAAAATGTACTATTGTGCTCGTCATGTCCGTCCGTCTGTCCGTGACTTCACGTTTTCGTTGACGAGAAAATGCGCACTCTGTCACTCACTGCAGTGAGTACTGAGTTATATTTTTTTGTTCATTTTACTCCCATTAAATTAAACTCAGACTTAAATAGAAGAAATTTACTCGAGCAAATTTTGCAAATACTGGATAATCGAGCAATTGAAGAAACCCTTGAGCAAATTCTGAGCAGAATACTGAAGGAGGTCTATATTCCAACTAACAGTCTACTATGATAAACTATCACGATTAAGTAAATAATCAATCAGTAGAATAGACACTTCAGTAAGTCGTGAGCAGAATTTGCTTCTTAGGAATGGAAGAAAGTAAGGTTAACGTTAGAATTATGGTCATTTTGACGGCTTCGAGTTCACTTTATTTCCAACCGAACCCAGCGCACAACTCATCTCCAGCATTTATGCGATTGAACAGGGAATGATTATGCAACTAAATACATACATCATTAGAACACTAATGGCTAAACTAAGTAACCCTTTCTGATTTCCCAATGATTAATTAAGGAGAGGTCGAAAGACAGTAAGGAGGAGAGGTCGAAAGCAACGAATTATCATTGGATAATTGTTAATCTCTCACAAATTAAACTGTAAAAAATGTGCAAAACGCCACGAGGTACAAGAAGAGTACGAGATAATAATACGTTATTAATACTAGTATCTATAATATCAATATATTACATATATATATTTTAGTTAATGTAACGGTGCTCACCGAAAGTTTGACCATTTCCTCGTGCAGTCTGCGAGCCCGTGGAATGTATACCAACTTCGTCAATCCTCGTCGTTGACTCGTGAGATAGTCGAGCTGACATGGCATTATATAGCCAAGCGTTTACGAGAATAAGCGGGGTCAGGCCTAGACATTACCGACATGCAAACTGATTTCTTTTAGACCTCGCAGCGGGAGGTGCAATTTTTTGAATTCATCCGTTGAGTGATCAAAAGATTACCTCGAAAGAACCAAACGCCAGTGATTTCCCTACAAAAATTTTAAACACCAAGGGCGTGCAAATTTCCTTTCTACATTACAGTTATCAGCTGTCAGAGTTTTGCTTTACTAAAAAAATTTGTTTGGCTCTAATTACAATTTTGTATCGTCCACCTTAACCTGTAACTTATTTTTACAAATGAAGTTGAAAAATAAAGTCAAATATAGTGTGGGATGACCGGAAAAACTTAGTGACAGACTAAATTATCGCGTAAACTGAGAGAAATAAAGTGACCAATGTCCGTATGGTGATTACCTTTCCCGAAGCGCAAACAGACATTCATATATGCCATTTTGCCGGGCCAAACTGTGTCAAGATGACCCCCACAGGGCAAGAAGTGCATCAATATTTGGACAATGACTCTCTTTGTGTTTATATTATAAATCAAATAAATGACTTCATCTGATGACCATAATGTTCCTACGCCTGTGACCCAGAGCGAAATTTTCATAAACCTTTAAGTATATCAAGCAGAATTTTCATCAGTAGCTCATATTTCCGTTTCCTCTTCGTTCAACTTGATGATCCTTGCAATGTTGCTGTGTTCAGACTTTGCGAGACCTGAACACACGTGCTTTCCATTGGAGCTAAGAATAAGTTGTTTGAATTAGGTAAAGACCGTAAAGTTAAGTTAGAGTAGCAAACGAAGTTATTCAGAATTGACAAGTTTAAGCATTTTAGGGTAGTGTAAGAATCACATTAATAACAATATCCAAGTGTGATCGAAAAAAGCCAAATTGGGGCAAGTGTTCCACGCAAGAACACGTGAAATTTTCACCGATACACCTGACCACATCCGAGGGTTCAGGGCCATGTTAGAGCTGCCAAATTCGTTACAATATTTCAGCTTGTACAATCTTAACTACAGTCGCAACACAAGTTCCGCTTCACGAGATTATCGTTAAAGCAGTTACATACGTAACGATCTAATTGGGCACCTCAGATCGCTCTACCAATGCAAAGATTCCTAATTGAGCGGTAATGTACACGCTAACCTCCAAAAGTAACCTGCATCGTCCAAGATTTTTTCCTCAGCATAGTGTCAGTTTCATAAAAAATACTAATAATAGAAATATACTATCATCTCTCTGTAAAATATTGTGTAAATACAGATGGCAAGCATCGATATGAACTATAAATTGATGTAAGATTCTGCACTTCGTCTGAGCTGCAACTAAAATATTCAAGTTAAAACTCAGCAGAAAAAAAACTCGGTTTCTTTCTCAGAAATCATAAGTAAAAAATCGAAAGCTATCGTACGGTTAATTGGGCATTTTTGCAAATCTTTACCATAGATCCTAAATTTAAATCAGCTGTAAACTCGCTTTATAATTCATATTAAATTAAAGCATGATGACGTACAACATGATTTTCTTACAAACCGACAAACACATTTAAGTGTGTACTTGCACTTATCTTCCCAATATACAGATTAATATATTTGATATAATTCATTTCCGAAGTTTTTGTAAATGTATTCAATCCTTCTTTAAATAATGCAGAGAAATCATAGCAAAATACGGACGATGAACAATCGCTTTTTCTTCACGCGCAGAAACGCGTTCACGTATACAAGTTAAGGGGTGACGATGTCAGCTTGACGAGCTTCATGCATTGCCAAGGCCCAGCTTAAAAGTATGCGTGCCTCAACTGCCTCTATATTCCTGCGGTGCCATAAGTATCCTGGATGCGTGCCTCAACTGCCTCTATATTCCTGCGGTGCCATAAGTATCCTGGATGCGTGCCTCAACTGCCTCTATATTCCTGCATAAGTATCCTGGATGCGTGCCCCAACTGCTATCTATATTCTTGAGGTGCCATAAGTATCCTGGATGTGTGCCTCAACTGCCTCTATATTCCTGCGGTGCCATAAGTATCCTGGATGCGTGCCTCAACTGCCTCTATATTCTTGAGGTGCCATAAGTATCCTGGATGCGTGCCTCAACTGCCTCTATATTCCTGCGGTGCCATAAGTATCCTGGATGCGTGCCTCAACTGCCTCTATATTCCTGAGGTGCCATAAGTATCCTGGATGCGTGCCCCAACTGCTATCTATATTCTTGAGGTGCCATAAGTATCCTGGATGTGTGCCTCAACTGCCTCTATATTCCTGCGGTGCCATAAGTATCCTGGATGCGTGCCTCAACTGCCTCTATATTCTTGAGGTGCCATAAGTATCCTGGATGCGTGCACTCAACTGCCTCTATATTCCTGCGGTGCCATAAGTATCCTGGATGCGTGCCTCAACTGCCTCTATATTCTTGAGGTGCCATAAGTATCCTGGATGCGTGCATCAACTGCCTCTATATTCTTGCGGTGCCATAAGTATCCTGGATGCGTGCCTCATCTGCCTCTATATTCTTGCGGTGCCATAAGTATCCTGGATGCGTGCCTCAACTGCCTCTATATTCTTGAGGTGCCATAAGTATCCTGGATGCGTGCCCCAACTGCTATCTATATTCTTGAGGCGCAATAAGTATCCTGGATGCATGCCCCAACTGCCCCTATATTCTTGAGGTGTTATAAGTATCCTGGATGCGTGCCCCAACTGCTATCTATATTCTTGAGGCGCCATAAGTATCCTGGATGCGTGCCCAAACTGCCCCTCTATATTCTTGAGGTGCCCTAAGTATCCTGGATGCGTGCCCCAACTGCTCCTCTATGTTCTTGAGGTGCCATAAGTATCCTGGATGCGTGCCCCAACTGCTCCTATATTCTTGAGGTACCACAAGTTATATATGGCACCCCAACAGTCTATATATTTATGGGGCCATACTAAGTATCCTATGCATAGGCGCTACAACAGCCCATATATATTTGTGGTGCCATAAGTATCCTGGATACGCGCCGCAACAGTCCTTGTATATATGTCGTGCCATAAGTATCCTGGATACGCGCCGCAATAACAGTCCTTGTATATTTGTGGTCTCAGGCTTCAAGCTCACACGCAAACTTTGACAAATATGTCAGATTACGTTCACAATATTCCAGTTTTGACGTTTATAATAATGCAGCGATGATGAAAAAGTTTCAGTGGTTCGAAGTTCCCACTAAGTTGAGCTGAAGTATATGGAGTTCGTAATTTCACTTGCCTGAAATTTCCCTTGCAATTGAAATCGTGTGTTACTCCCCTTACTTTTTTTCAGCAATTTTCGTCGTAAAATGGATGGCATTTCATTTCAATTGGTTGTGAAAAAATGGGAAAAAATTAAAATATCTATAATAGTGAACAATGTTATTATTAATTGTTAACAGGAATAACTTTTTATCTAATTGAATTTCCACTCGGGAACCTTAGATGTGAGGGAAGACTGAGGGAAGACTGAGTGAAGACTGAGTTATCTCACTGAAGATTGAGGAATACTATTCGTTTAATATTGTGCTGACGATTTTATATTTGACTGAGGCTTCCCTAAATGTAGGTAGGGTAATAGGGGATGCGGGTCCGTGTTTCTGTTTATTTAATTTGATGTCAACATGTACGTAAAATAGGCCTGCGAACTAAAGTTAGACATTAGAACATGACATGAGTAAAATATTTCATCGACATTAATACAGGGCATGGGTAAAATATTTCGTCGACCAGGATATCATACTAGTTTAATTTA